AAACATTTATACAAAAAGAGTGGAAAGGGGAAAGAGCAATCAGGAAAACTGACATCTTCTCTCAAGGATGAGAGTTGATTTCTAAGTTCGGTGATTGTCTCCTCTCCACTGCTTAATTCATCTCGTGGATTCGTCTCTTTTGTTTGTGTCTGACCCATCTCGCTTATGAACTCTTCTCAGTTCCAATTTGGAAAGGTCGCCAAAAATTCCTCCGGTTTCTTTGGTTCTCTTCTGTGTCTTGTTCATTTGTATATTTTAGTCCTTTTAGCATTGTAAGTATGGTGAAAGCGATTAAATAAAATAAGAATGGTACTCAGTGGGAGTTTGCATGCCTCCCATTTGGAATAGAAAGTGCCCCCAGAGTCTTTATCAAGTTTTTGAAACCCGTGATAGGCCTGTTAAGAAAGTAAGGAATTCGTCTGATCATTTATTTAGACGATTTTTTACTGATGGCCTCCACCGAAGAAACTCTAACATATCATACCACATTGACAGTCACCCTTTTAGAGATATTAGGGTTTGTGGTCAATTACAAAAAATCCCAGCTAAATCCTACACAGTCAATAGAGTTTCTAGGTTCCGCATAAATTCAGTTACACTAAATATCAGCCTTCCCTTAGACAAAGTAAAGAGTATCAGAAGAGAATGCCAGAAAGTTCTGGAAAACCGAGACATCACGATAACAGAGCTAGCTCGGCTTTTGAGGAAACTAAGTGCTTCGATCCAAGTGGTGTTCCCAGCACCCCTTCATTATCGTCACATCCGAGCAGTCAAAAAGCACAGTCTAACCCTTCATGGGGGCTACGAGTCCCCAGTGTGTTGGACAGAGGAAGCCCTCGAAGAACTAAAATGGTGGAGAGAACACCTTTCTGCTTGGAACGGGAGAGCAATTTTACGAACCCCTCCTCACTTGACAATCGAAACAGATGCTTCATCGATGGGATGGGGAGCACGTTGTGGAAACTTTCAGACCAGAGGGCTTTGGTCTCAGTCAGAAAGGCTCTTACAAATAAATTGTTTAGAACTTCTAGCGGGCGGTTTTGCCCTTAAGTCATTCCTAAAAAACAAGTGCAACATCCATGTAAAGTTAATGATGGACAATACAGCTATATAAAAAATATGGGTGGGCCCACATCACTGATTTTGTCAAGCCTAGCCTTCGACCTTTGGCAATGGTGTCTAAATCGGTCTATCACAGTCGAAGCTCACCACTTTCCGGGGCGGCTAAACTTTGTGGCCGATTTCGATCCACAAGGGATCAAAGACAAATGGGGCCCCTTCACAATAGATCTTTTTTGCAAGCAGACTGAGAACACAACTACCCAGGTGTGTGAGTTGGAAGCCAGATCCAGAGGCAGAGGGAGTGGATGCCTTTAATCTGGATTGGAGCCAGCTCAAGGGATACGCATTCCCTCCATTTGCCCTAATAGTGCGGTGACTAAAGCAAGTTCTGTGTCAGTCAGTCTTTCAGTTGACAATTGTGACTTCAGTGTGGGAAACCCAACCATGGTACCCCTTGTTGTTAGAATTAACAATAGACAATCCCCTATTTCTCCCATCGTTCCCAGGGCTACTGAGACAAGAGAACAAGTTTCACCCTCTTGCCCACCTTCAACTAGCCGCATGGCTAGTCTCAGGAGTCGATATGAAGGTACAACAGTTTCACTACCAGCTCAAAGACTGCTCCAGGCTGCATGGAGAACCAGGACAGAAAAAACTTATTCTTCAGCCTGGAAAAAGTGGACTTGTTGGTGTCGTGAACAACAACTCAATCCCCTTTCAGCATCTTTTGGTTCAGTGTTAAACTTCCTAGCCAGTCACTTTGAGGCAGGCCTGGAGTATCGTACACTAAACGTGTATCGTTCAGCTTTGTCTGCGACACACTCACAAATTGAAGGTTACGATGTTGGGCAACATCCCCTTGTAGTTCAGCTCCTAAAAGGGATTTTCAATTCCCGTCCACCGGTACCCAGATACACGTCTACATGGGTTGTTAACATAGTTACGAGTTATTTGGGCTCTGAACTAATTGCCCATGATTTACGTTTTAGACGATTTCATCCAGAAGGTGTTTCTTTTAATCTCCCAGTACTCACTAAAGGGTTTCGGGTTGTAAAACCCTTGAAGACCTCCTTTCGCTCTAGTTTCCCAGAAAATGAGTTGCTGTGCCCATGCTCGTGTCTTAAAGAATATGAAAGGCGAACACAGGCTTTTAGGCCAGAATCAGTGGCTGCTCCAAACAGGTTATTCCTCTCTGTGAATAACCCTCATTAGCCTGTGAATTCTGCTACCCTGTCTCAGTGGGTTAAGAACTGTCTGTTGGAAGCTGGAATTGATAACAAAGTATTCAGGGCTCACTCCACTCGTGGAGCAGCTACTTCTGCAGCGCCGAGAGCAGGCTTCTCTATTCCAGAAATAGTTCGTCTAGCTGATTGGACAAATGAGTCCACTTTCAAGTTTTATTATCGTCCTGTTTGGAATGTTAGTGTCGGCCGCTCTCTTTTAGCTAGTGCTGCAGTTGAACCGAGGTCTTGAAGCTTTGAACATACATTGTTATATCCAGACGAGTATTATGATGTACAATTGGAGATTTTGCAAAGGCTGCTTGCAATCTGAAGTATAATTATAATTGTACGAATAATACTGGAGGCGAGATATAGCAATGTACCTCCCTTCCGCCACTCCCCATTTATTCATTTTTTTCAATTTTGATGTTCTAATTTCTATACAGATTGTTACCAGTTGTCACGTTCCACAACAAGGCGAGGTTTCTAAGGGGTGCAGGCAGATATGGCAGGGGGGCCTCGTTTTGAATTTAAGCTGTATATTTATAGTTGTAAGCTTTAAAACGCTGTCATTGAAGCAAAAATACAGGCATTTACATTGTTCGTATCTCGCCTCCTATTAGTGGTTATTGCGGTTTTAGGGGCTTTTGATGTGACTGTCAGTGAGGACTTGATTTTATTCTCACATTGCCGACAGTCTCAATGACGCCATCGTGACTAAACTATTTCCAGTTTTTGCACTCAACGTCTTCAGCTTTTGCTTCTTACTAACCAGGATTCAGCGTCCTTCGTTTTATCAATTTTTCCATTCACATGTCTACTTTCGATCGAATCTTTGAATCAATACTCTCGATGGCTTTTAGTTTTGAGTTATTTTTAACCCCAGTTTTCCCTCAGGCGTAGTTTCGTTCTAGAAACTCTTAGGGCCGGTCATTTAAACGAAGTGTCAGCCAAACTGCGGTTTTATGCAAGTAATGGGCCTACATATTGTCTATAAAAGGTTTGTTTTTATTAACTAAATGTCCTTCCGCTGCTATCGGTTCGCTTGACAATGTTCACGAAAATTAACGTTCGGATAAATGATTCTGCTAAATTCAAGTTAGTTTAGAGCGTGGCTTTGTTAAACAACGACCGGGTGAAACTTTGTTTAAATAACCGGCAATAATTATAATTTCGAATAACGAGATGTCTAAGAAGGCTCGGAGTAATTATCGTTAATATTCTATTCATTCGAAACATTCACTGTCGTACCCAAACCTCGTTCAATAAAAAGAAACACACAAAAATACCACAAGGGATTTTCATTATCGTTTCCAAAGTCAGAAAGTTAGTCCTCTAGTCAGTCATTTATTCGTGCTGTTCACCTTTATCTTGAAGGGACAAATGCACGATTACGCATGAAAAAAGAAAAGAAAAAGAGCTGCTACTTTCGGTGCTTATGAAGTTACCATCGGCCCTTAGTCAGCAAATGCTTTTTTTTCTTTTCTCAGTCAATCGCCCTAGTTTCCCATGATATATTTGTTCAAAACGTCGCAGCTGAAAGACACTATATCCAAAGCGGGTTTGGCCACCAGACTATTAATGTCAATTTGTCATCCACTATATATCCATGTCAGTTTTCTCCCTCCACGACTATCCTCGTGTTTTTCTGTTCTATATTTCCAAAGCTAGCGCTGCCAGAGAAAACGACACAAAATATTGTGACGTAGGTGCGATAGTTTGATAGTCTTAGCTGGTTGTATTTTATGGTCGCCCTGCTATCTAATCCGCAGTTTAAATCCACTCACCTCTATTTTTGTGCGGTCACTTAGATGATCAGTAGTTTACTTTATCAAGAAATCAAGGACCTCACAGCGATTACTTCCAACTTTTACATGAGATCCCCTAAGTTTAATTTCGTGCTTATATTATTTGTAGGAGTAACAAAGCGTAAATTGCGACAACATCATAAGGGATGATAAACAAAACAACACTTAGTGACGCTCATCAAACAAAATCATTAATCCAAAACATCTCGCAATTATGTTAAGCCTTTGTCCATGTTTTCAGATAGATGATCAGGCTTTTGGGGTTGGTGGATGGAGGATCGAGACAGTCAGACATATTTACAGCACAATGAGACGACATTAGAGGTTTCAATACTATTCATCTAAATATGGAGTGCCTGATAATCAGCCGTGCTAAAATAAGGCAAGCAGCAACTTCCTCATATTTCACAGACCGAGGGCTCACGTAAATATGATTAATCAAAAAACCAAACAATCAGATTTCCGTTCCGGACCTCTCTCTAGGATAATCTCGATTTGTGACCAACAAAAAAAAAAAAGTCTTTGTTTTTGTCTCGCATTGCTGTCTGAAACACGTCGAGTTCACATATGGATAAAGCGTGTAGTTTAATTTAATAAGGTCAAAAAGACCGTAAGTCTTGGAAATACCGCTCACGTCAGTTCAGTAACATGCAAAGACTTCTAAACATTTGAGGACCAGGGTATAAGCATTTTTGCGCTCTGATTGCAAAGGGAATATACTGAGGGAGAGAGACGTCAATCACGATCGTCCGAGAATTATCTTCTTGCAAATTTGAATGGGAAAGGAATAAGTGTGTTGTCTCTTACTCTAACCAATATGTTTTCTTAGCAAGGAGAGTCACACCAGCTGCTGGCTACGTACATGGTAATAGTGGACAGTTGAGACAAATTTATTAAGGCGTTCATCTAACCTATTTCTGTTGGCTTCGTTTTATTTTGAGTTTGAATGAACACCATTACAAGGCCGGCCATGGTAGTAACGGAAGGTGTCCTAGGACTCGCTTGTTGTTGTTGGGCATTTAGATGGGTCCCTCTACTAAGGGAGGAAAAACGCTTCACACACCTTACAGGCTTCTATCTTCCATTGTATCTTATTTCTATCAAAGTTCCAGATCGCGCTTCAGAGGCTTTTGAATTCGCAGTCCGTAAAAAATTGCCAAGGCTGCCAAAAAGTACAGGTGTAGACTTTACAGAAAAAGAGAAAAAAAATCCTCGAGTAGGGAACCTCTAGCTCAACGGCATGGAAAAGGGGAGTTTTAAATACAGACTTAGCAAAACTTGGAGAGTTTCCATCACAATATTAACAAGCAAGGATGACGATGAATTGTAGATATTTGTCACGTTTCTAACGACCCATGTGGTCCTATGAACCTTGGTGGTTGCAATTACGTGATCAAGAGACTAAATTAGATAAATGTTATTTAGGGTCGAACGGGTTCTAACTTTTCAATCACTGAGAAAACTTGCACGTCAGTTTCTTTAAATGTCTGTTCCTATTTTTCCAACGGATGCTTAAGATATTAGGATGCTTAAGATATTAGGAGTATCATGAGGCAAAAATGTATCTGATTAATTTGCTAAACTACAAATTATTTGTCTGCAAGCAGATACCTTTAAATTTGTTGTGTCTCTGGCTTTGATTACGCCTGGTACTGAAAAACCGACTTGAGATAAATGTGGTTTGACCTTACTGAAATAAGTGGGGCTCAGCCCATGCCCAACATATTAACGATATCCTCAATCCTTGGACGATCCTCAGGATCCCTTTTCAAGCATCTCTTTATCATTTCTTGAAGCGCTTGGTTTGTCACCATTTTGACTTGCTCTTCACGCCTTTCACGATCTGGCGATTCCAAGATGCACATTTGACACAGAAGAACACCAAAACTGTAGATATCCATCTAATCAAAACAAGAAAAAAAAATCCACTGACTTACTGTTAATGGACAAATAAGCCAAATTGTGCGCATTGCTAAATCTACAACAACTCTACTATCACAAAAACGTCAAGGGTTAAACTAATAATAGCTGAAAAACTAAAGATAACGATTTTGAGGACTATTGACGAAATGTAACTATGCTCCAGTAGAGGATTATTTTAACGCCAAAAAACCTCAAAATATTTTTCTGCATCTCAGCAAATGGCTTTGGGTCCGAAACCATGCAAAGCACTTGATCGCACCCCACTCACGCCCCATTTACATGGTCTCAGGTACCCGAGACAACCCTTCCCCGAGTTACCTTGGGCGAGCTAACTTTTCACCTATTTCTTTAAAAAATTTAGCCGACCATTTACGTTAGGTTGTGAACTCGTCTCGGGTAGGCGAGACAACTCGGAGGGTGAGTTGTCTCACCTCGGCCGCTGGGGTATCCCTGGCAGGATGGACAACTTTTCCTCGTGTAAACACCTTGTTTCGCCTACCCGAGACGAGACGACTCGAACAGAAAATGCGCACGCACTCTATAACCAGAGCCCGTGCGTATTACAGCTTTTCCTTTCATGTCGCACGCCACGCTGTCAAATTAGAACCTGGCCTGGCTGAACGAGGGTTTACAGATGTCAGCTTTCATATAAACGCTCTGCAGAATTGCTTCTGGAGGAGGGTTGTCTCGGTACCCGAGACCATATAAATAGGGGCTTCAGCCGTTCAAACCGAACGATCATTGTGATATCTGGGTTCAAACCGTAGGGTACATTACACTGTCTGCTAAATTACAAATTATAACCAACCTTCACGGTTTGCCTTGAGCTAACTGTCTCTGGTGCACTGTATAGCATATCACCTGGAGCAGTTGACATGGTTTCCTGCTGGAAGGTGGTAGCAATTGAAATTGTCAGCTTTCCTCTCCATTGTGGACCTTGTAGCCAAAGCAACACATTGGCACTGCTGACGTTCCGGTGGACAATTGGAGACGGTAATTTGTGGTGGAGGTAGTTCAATGCCGCAGCTACATCTTGAGAAATAAAGGAGATTTCTTTTTCTGAGAGAGATCGCGAGGCTAAAAATGATTCTAGACTTCTTTCCATGAGTTCTGTCACGATCAAAGGAAATCCTTCGTCGCGAGTTGCTCCAATGAACTGGAGTAAACAAGGGTGGCGGCATCTTGAAGCCACGTCTATCGTTTGCTCATACAAACTTCGGCTGTCAAGAGAAAGAAGAGTCTCGTGGATCTGCTTCACGGCCACGGCAAAGCCATTGTACTTGCCCCTAAAGACCAATCCCAATGATCCTTTGCCAAGCCAGTCACCTGTCAGCTCAATTTGTTCACGTGGAATGATCCAGTCAGGTATCTCTCGACGTGGTTGTATGCTGCTCGTCGTGTGCAGTTCATTTGTTTCTTGGCGTATTTCCTTTGACTGATCTTCATCTTTAGTTTCTATAACAGCACTTCTTAGCATTTGCTCTATCTCTCCAATTGATGGCTTATCGTCTTCCATTTCTGACTGGGGGTCGAACAAGGCCTCTAGTTCAAAACTAATTTCCTGCATATCAGGTCGCTCCCCAGGGTCTGGCTGTACGCAACGTTGTATGAGGCTTCGAAACTCTTCATTTTTCACTTGGGATATTTGTTCCTCTCGACGGTCAGGATCTGGAAATTTCCGCGTGCACATTTCACAGAGAAGAACTCCAAAACTGTACACATCAATCTGATGACAACAACATCAAAATCTGATCATTTTTCTTATTTCTTACAAAATTAACGCAGTAGCGGACAAGCAAAACAGCGTACACTACTTACCATGCAAGTGACCCGACATTATTTGCTACATATTAGATAAAATCTGTTGTTTTTTGTATCAAAGCCTCTTTAGCATAGCCCTAACTGCAAAAGGCTAATCGAGGAAAAAGGGTTAGGTGCAACAAAATTAGGATGTTAACCAGAAAGTGTTAATTTTCAGAAAAAATCATGTCTCCAGAAATAGCATTCCCGATTTCACTCGTTTGGTCATACAATCCTTTTCATAACATTTTCCCTTTTAATTGCACCTCTTGTCAAAATAAATCAACATGGAGAAGTGAGTAGTCTCCTTCGCAGCGGCAACGCTTCCCTCGAAAGAAACGGCTGCTCACATTCGAACCACATTGCCTTCCCGATTTTAGCCAATCACAGCAAAAGTTCCATTTTCTGGAACTGTCGCGCGCGAAATTTTCTGAAGATGATTCGACCAATAATACTTCTCGTTTTATCGTTCCACGATCTCCTGAGGTTACAAAATCAAGATAGTGGCTCTTAATGAAGCTTTTCTTCAAGCATCGTCAAATTTCAAAATCGCAGGCTTTAATTCTTACCAGAAGCTTGCGATTCAAAAGTTTGTCGTCCAGAAGCAAGATGTATTGGTAAACCTGCCCACAAACTCTGAAAAATCTCTAATTTATCAAGCTCTCCCTATCGTGTTCGTGTTTGTGTAATAATATCGGTGATGACGTAATCTAATTAGTATGAAGCACGTGGGTAATGCTGTGTAATGTATATAGGGCGAGTGTGCGAGAGAATAAAGGTAGCGTGGCAATGCGGATTCTGTGTGCTCTATGAGTTCCCTACAAGATGCTAAATTTGGCGATGAGTGGTAGATTTTATACAAACATCTTGTATAAAAGAAGAATTTTTGAGGCCTTTGCTCGGATCGTTGACGGCACCGGTAAAGTTTGGATTCCGGCAGCTCTACTTTGCTCTCGATGCTCATCTCCAGCATTATGCTCACGCTTGGCTCTTGGCCTCCCTTGGAAAGATTCAAGAATTTCCCTCTTCAGCTCTAAAAACTTTTCAGTTGCTTGTTGAAATTTCAGCAGCCGCTTGTAACACACAGCTTTGCATATAAATAACTTGCTGCTCACATAGCAGCTGATATCGAAGTCCAACGAAGATCTGATTATTTCCACAAAGTTATGGTACTATTTCCGAAAATAAATACTCTTTTTTGGGCTGCTGAAGGCGAAGAACACGTGAAACACTTTGAGGTTTCCTCCACAACTTTTTTGGCGTTTCACTCGCCATACCATGCGGCTGAAAGGTAATCTCACATAAACTTCGCGCGAAAATTACATCACTCGCAGTACCCTGACTTAATTGGTTGTTTGAAACACAATGGGAAAGGAATGTGGTTCGAATGTGAGCAGCCGTTTCTTTCGGGGTAGCGTTGCTCGACATCCCGAAAGACGGCTGCGAAGGAGACTACGAAGTGAGTGGAGTGTTTAAAAAAATTTTGTTGGAGGTTGTGATTTCAAGACAACAAGCTCATTTCCTCGACAATCACTTACCTTGATTGTCTGTTTGTCTTCTGTAGCAGCTTCAGGAGCACTATATACCCGTGCTCCCGGCCCAGGTGTCATTCTTTGCTGAATAAAATTAGCCGAGCCATAATCTGAGACTTTTCCTCGCCATCGCCGACCATGACGCCATAGCAACACGTTAGCACTACTGAGATCGCGGTGGATGATGGGTAAGGGCTTAGTTTGGTGCAAGTAATTAAGACCGAGTGCTACATCCAAAGAGATGATGTAGATCCCTGGAACAGAGAGAGGTTGAAACTGGGGGCCTAACGACGCTCGTAGACTGGTTTCCATTAGCTCTGTCACAAGCAGAGGAGTTCCTTCATCGTTTGTTGCCCCAATAAACTGCAGCAAACAAGGGTGGCGGCATCTTGAAGCAACCTCCATTTCTCTTTCAAATGAGGATCTGGCTGAAGGGAAGCGAATCAAGCTGTGAACCTGTTTCACGGCTACTTTGCAGTTTCTGAATCTTCCCAGGAGAACTTTTCCCCACGCACCTTCCCCAAGTATCTTATCTGTTAAGAAAATCTCGTCGCGAGAAATGACCCATTCACAGGACTCTTTTGGTCTGCCATCTAGAGCTTGTTGAATTGTAGATAAAGACTCTTCCAGTTCTTTCATATGTTCATCTTTTGCTATTGACTCTGCTTCCAGGTTCCTTACTTGCTGTTCAGCAACCTCCCTAGCTTGTGTTACTTCATCTAAGTCCTCTTGGAGGTCTTTTAGCCTTTCCATTAACTGATATCTCTCTTCGTTCCCACTTTCTCTCACTTCGTCTAAGTTTTCTTGAAGGTCGTTCAGCCTTTTCGTTAATTGATCTTTCTGTTCACTCCTACTTTGTGTTACTTCGTTTAACTTTTTTTGGAAGACTTTTTGCGTTTTCATTAATCGAACCTTTTCTTCCTCCAATTTTCTTCGTTGCTGGTCAAAGGCTGCCAAGTGAGTATCTGCAAGATGACAAGTGATGGACGTTTTATTTAATGAGTAATACAATGCGTTGCCTAAAAGACAAACAGTTATATCAAGAGAAAATGATGCTGAGTACTCCGGCTAAGTGTTGAGCAAGGCGAAAAGAGATAGCGCAACCTCAATCGCAAAAAACTAGTGATGTCTGATCGTTCAATTTGGTCGAGAAACCGTCGTTAGAGCTGGGAGAAAACTGAATAAATTTCAGAGTCTCTTTACATTTGAAAATGACATGTTCGTTGTGTTTTCATATTATAAGCTTTGTATTAATGGAATTTGTATATTCATGCAATTCAGCCTTAGATGGCTGCCATATGGATTTAATTAAAGCTCTACTTTACCTTTACCTTACTTACCTTTTTCAGACAACTGCTTCTTGAGGGCTTCGTTTTTCTCAACTAAGGTGTTGGTTCGTCCTTTCTGCAATTCAAGCTCCTTTTCCAGTTTTTTTCGTTCTTCGTCTTGTCTGACAGACCTACATTCTGAGATTGCAAAAACGTAACAGGGATTGTCGGTAGGGAGGGGATGGGGGGAGGAGAGGTTCAATAACTGGGATTGTCAATAGGGAGGGGATGGGGGAGGAGAGGTTCAATAACTAGAATTGTCAATAGGGAGGGGATGGGGGGAGGAGAGGTTCAATAACTGAGATTGTCGATAGGGAGGGGATGGGGGGAGGAGAGGTTCAATAACTGGGATTGTCGGTAGGGAGGGGATGGGGGAGGAGAGGTTCAATAACTGGGATAGTCGATAGGGAGGGGATGGGGAGGGGAGGTTCAATAACTGGGATTGTCGGTAGGGAGGGGATGGGGGAGGAGAGGTTCAATAACTAGAATTGTCGGTAGGGAGGGGATGGGGAAGGAGAGGTTCAATAACTGGGATTGTCGGTAAGGAGGGGATGGGGGGAGGAGAGGTTCAATAACTGAGATTGTCGGTAGGGAGGGGATGGGGGAGGAGAGGTTCAATAACTGGGATTGTCGGTAGGGAGGGGATGGGGGGAGGAGAGGTTCAATAACTGGGATTGTCGATAGGGAGGGGATGGGGGGAGGAGAGGTTCAATAACTGGGATTGTCGATAGGGAGGGGATGGGGGGAGGAGAGGTTCAATAACTGGGATTGTCAGTAGGGAGGGGATGGGGGGAGGAGAGGTTCAATAACTGGGATTGTCGGTAGGGAGGGGATGGGGAAGGAGAGGTTCAATAACTGGGATTGTCGGTAGGGAGGGGATGGGGGGAGGAGAGGTTCAATAAAAGTATCATGTTATCTTAATTTCGAAGCATATGGGGAAACTTTATGAAAACATTATTTACCAAATAATTTACTTTTGAGCGAGACATGTTGATTCGAAGCTTAAAGAAAACTATCAATAAACAGTCAAACAATACGATGAAAACTCATTTTCTTTTCAAATTTATAAGTCGCTTCATCATCTGAATGTTTGTTTTTCAGTTTACTTCCTGCTTCATGTCACATACCTTTCCATCGAACTTGAATTGGTAGTAAACCTACTCAAATAGTACTTACCGTTTTCCGACAACTGCCTCTCAAGCGCTTCGATTTTTGTACTTAAGGAGTTGATTTGTTCTCTCTGTAATTTTTAGCTCATTTTCCAGTTTTTCCATCCTAGATTAACGTTTTAACTCCCATGAGAGACCAAGACAGAATTTCTCCTTACAATACCAATACAATATCAAGCAGACAAGAAATGAGAATAAAGAAAAATATCGACTAAGGAATTATTAGTTGATCCAATGCCAAATTCTCCAAAACAATCTCATAAAAAATCATATGTTAGACAGTAAGGAGAATTCCTAATCAGGTCTTGGGAGTGAAAGGATTACGTAAATTTTTTATCAAACAGTTTTGCTTCACTTTTTAAGCTTAAGCAGTGTAAACTCACTTCCCCCTCAAATTCATAAGTCGCCACATCAGCTGAATGTTTGTTTTTCGTTTTACCTCCTGCTTCATTTCATGCATCGTTTTATTGAACCCTCTAAAATTCTTAAATTATTAGTATTCCTACTTAAAAGACATATTTGCTTTGTTCCTTACCTTTTTCGTACAACTGCTTCTCAAGGTCTTCTTTTCTTGCAGTTAAGTTGTCTATTTGTTCTCTCTGCAATGTTAGCTCATTTTCCAGTTTTTGACGCTCTTCATCTCGTCTGGCAGCGGACCTAGATTCTGACCGTCTACTTCTAGGTCTCCCGTCAGCACCTGAGATTAAAATAACGTCAGCTGGATTGATCAATGGTGAAGGGGGAAGGAGATCCTTTTTAACCGCCTCCCGGTTAGTTCAATTGGCTAGAGCGCCGGATTGTGTTATGCGAGAGGTCGAGGGTTCGAGCCCCGGACCAATACTCATGGATTAATCAATGTTGGAGGGGGAAGGAGATCCTATTTGAATTTCCGAACGTGTCAGAAAGTTAATTACATGAAAAAATGGTTCACCAAGTGCCGTTACGCAAGTACAAATAAGACACGTTAAATTTAAAAACACACCAGAAAGTTCAAACGAAAATTAACCGAAGTGGAGGTAAATAAATACACAGCCATATGCAAACATACCATCGGAAATTTAATCGGTAAGTGCTAATTCTGGTAAGCTAGACAGAGAGAGTTAAATCGCAAGTTATGCTACTCAGTCATCCACGTGACCTACACTTAGTATCCGACGATTGAAATGATGTCTTAAATAGCATTGCACATACCTTCTGTAGGTGTCCTTGGTCTCAAAAGCTCAGCCTCTGAGTAAGTGACCCTCCGGCTACTTTCCTGAAAGCAAATCTATACTTAACCCTTGGTTTCACTAACAACTGGGTTTGATGACATCAATGAAGTGTTTTGCAACTTGTTTTGGTTTGATCTGAAACATACGTCCCTTCTTATGTGTTTTCAGTTCCTGTGCGGCTTTGTTCTTAAGTTTTTTGTTTATTTTGCCGGCTGATGTTGAATTATATTTTTATAAAGTTTAGATTTTGATATTGAATGATTCAAAACCTTTGGAGGGGATTTAGAAAAGGCCAAAGGAAACATACAGGTAAAAGTGATGATGCAATCTTTAAAGGCAACTCGAAATTCATATTTCGTTGAGTTGTGTATAAATTTGCTATCTGTGAGTTCAGAATATTATAGGTCATCACAGCATCAGAGCCAGAAATCCTAGGACTTTATATCTTGTGAGGAACTCAGACTTTTTCTTCTTCTGTGTTTACACAATCGACGAAATGGATAACAGCCTTCTTTACCCTCTAACTAGATAGACGTAAAGGCTTCATAATGGGCTGCTATAAGCACAAACACATCAAGAGTAAATAATTTGTATCTAACTGATTACGATCCATTTTTTCACAAAGTTACGACTACAGAATCCAACTTGGAAGACATCTCCAAATTTCTCATAAAGATTCTGCACGTTAAGTCAGTAGACGCTCTGAGGTAAACTGAAAAGACCGTTCAGGGGAGATAAATGCATTTATTTCGCCACACGATCCCTAAGATATCATCTGTTACAGATCATATTATCGAAATGAAAACCAGTCAAGTCATCAAGCATGTTACAACTGAATGCTCGTGAGTTAACACGCAAGAGAAAAATGCGAAATGAACTCAAATAAGATGTAGCTTGTTTCGAAAATCATCACCATGTTAGAAACTTTACAGCTTGGATTAAAACGGTATACAATTTGGATCTACGCGATAAATGTTCGTTTCGTGTTGCGACAAGCGTCTCCAGTCTTTGTAATTTTCATCCAGTCAAAACTCTTGAGGTTTAACCTTTAAGCCAGCCTAACAATCATGTGTTGTTTTTCCATTTTACGCCCGTCTGCTTTGTATTATCAGTAAAAAAAAACGATGTCATTACGGTGTGATTGCTATTAGATATTTGTTATGAAAACGCATGTACCATTAGTTACAACTTTCCTGCAAAAAGTGTAACCAGAAGTAATTAATTCTAATTGGAGCCATCGTTCTTCATGAGTTGACTTATAAATTTTACTTCCTGATTTGATTCTCTGGTTGTCACGTTTCATGTCCACCAACAGAACAAAAACTATCATTCGGAAACCTTTCGCTGCTGTTTAGTTTGAAGCACTGAGAGACGTAATTCAAAGCACCTACAGCCGTGACTGCTTCAAGATCTGATCTCCCAGACTAATGGAACGCAGCTGACGTAGAAACGCTTACTGTCTTTATCAGTGGAAATCGGACTTACCCGTACTCTTTGTCGGAATAACCGTAGTCGTTCGTCTAGAGAAATAATCTCCAAAAGCACTTCTGCTAATTCGTCTGAAAGGAGTTCTGACTTATCGTCGAGGCCCTCGACACAGCTCTTATCGAAGAAGACTTCTTTGCGATCGGCCACAACGAACCGCGTTTTGTCATTTGGATCTTCCAGGAGTATCGTTCCTCTTTCTAATTCTTTGCCTCGCAACTGTTTAGAAGCATGGTAAACATGTTTCTTAAAGAGAGCGCATTCCCTAATATTCTTAAGGAGAATGTAAAACAGAGTCATGTTGAATTTGTTAGTAGCATCGCAAACGTTATTCACATGATAATGATAATTTTCAGTCAATACACAAGTGACAATCTTTCAAAACACAATACTGACGCCGTTAAACGACGCTGTATTTGGGGAGGGGGGGTGGACTAGATAAAAGTATGGGTAGAGGAGTGGCGGGTCTCAGAACCGTGAATCACTCGATCACTTTGGGCCTTATGCCTTTGGTGAGAGGAAAATCGTTCAGAGAGCGGCAGTTCTTTACAAGCAGTCTTGGTGAAAAACTGCCTGGTTGAAAAAGCTTTGAATTGAAATAAACAGCGTTGGCAGTTTCAGTAATGGTCATGATCATTCCAAGAGTTCGAGTCATTTTCGATTGATTTCTTGGTTTAATCAGTCGGCTCAAGCCCGCTCGGAGGAACCGTTAATCAAAATCGTTGATCTTTTCCCGGGAAATTAACTACGCGCTAATCGTGAGTGGTCGATCGGCCTCCGTGAGGAATCCCATTTCGGGAAATTAACTACGTGCTAATTGTTAGTGGTCGAAGGGCTTCCGTGGAGAACCCCATTTCGCGGTAAATTCAAACTAAAAATAGACCTGTCTGTGAAAACACAGTGACATTCACAAAGGGCAGTTGAACGCTCCAAGTAATGGGCTACTGCTTAATGTTATCATTCTGCTTGAGACCTGGGGATGAAGCAGGCACCTCAAGTGCCTTACCGCAGATATATTTATAACAAATAAAACAAGAGTAGATGTCTCTTCTTCTCTATATGACGTAACAATCAATCAAACTTGAGCAAATTGGTCGGTTTAATTTTAAGAGGGTCTGTTTTGTCGCAACAGTAAGGCGTGTGCCAATGAGACAGAAATGGCTCATTTAGTACAATTGAGACATGCTGACTCGAAGCTGGAATGAATTTATCATAAAACTGATGTAAACTCACCTCCTTCTCAAATTCGTGACTTGTGACTTTCATTCCACTTCCTGCTCCTGTCACGAACCGTTCTATTGAACTTTCTAGAAAGCTTCAATCATTAGAAAACCTACTACACATATTATGCAAAAGCGAAGGGTAAATTTCTTGTTGCGACTGAAGTGCCCCGTGTTTATGTACCTTGTTTATGTACCTTGTTTATGTACCTTGTTTATGTACCTTGTTTATGTACCTTGTATATGTACCTTGTTTATGTACCTTGTTTATGTACCTTGTATATGTACCTTGTTTATGTACCTTGTTTATGTACCTTGTTTGTGTACCTCGTTTATGTACCTTGTTTATGTACCTTGTTGTGAGACTGGGATGTCGCTTACTCCTAAGTTACTCTCGAAAGGTACGAAAACGGCAGAGAAAAACAGACATTTTTAGCATAATAAAGAGAAAAATATAGTCAGTCACATGTTAAGCAGAACTAGAACTGGTAGAACACTATCAGTCCGAGTCAAGAGCAAAAAGAATTTCCAGACATTATCAAACTCATTTTCAAATACGAACACTATAATCAAATTTTAGACTTGAAATAAATTTGGACTCAAGATTCAGACATGACGACAATTCATCATTTTACTAGGCATAGCACGTGACAACCAATTGATAAACAAAGCCTTTCGATCTTCATATTAATAGAAAACGACAGGCAGAGGTAGGGAAGAACGTATACCGTGTAAATCAATATATTAAGAGATGGTAGTGATAAGGTTGGAATTACACACTTTTCTTACACAGAGCCGGCATTGCAGTAGTATAATGAATGTTCAACTTCTCGGCTTTATTCTCTCCCTTCCTTACACTCCTTATTATTGGCCACAATTTTACAAACACTGTTTGCTCTTGGTGTGGAGCTGAGAAGATTCCTGTTATGCTCTACCAATCAGAGTAGGCGGTAACTATGGTTACCAACCTGATCCATTGTCTACTTCAATGCCTTGCATTGGTTATTCCTTGAGATAAAACTTTTTCGGACCCCCTCCGAAAAGGAAAGCTATGCAGCAACTTCCCGCATAAATAATAGATCTGAGAAATTTTTTATAAGTTTTACAAAATGGATTTTAATAAAATTGGAACCCCTTTACCACCGCAAATCTCACCCCACCCTCCACTCCCCGTCTTTCCTTTTTAAAAACTGTATCGTATAGAACTTGACTTAAGATGGGTTTAACACAGAGACCCAAAAGATGAACTCGATGAAATGTCTTTTTTCTTCTTCTAAAACTTCAAGTGAGTCGTTTGACATAGCGGCTGAAACCCTACACATGATATCGAGGTGATCTTTGTCGACCTCGTCTCCTGCGCAATCGTTCCTATTAATGTTTACATAGTTGAGATCAATCTTTCTTATTAATATACCCTCGTACACTTCAGTTTCTTTTGTTAAGACGCATCGATTCGAAACATTTTCTTTGGCAAAAGTTATCTCAAACTGGATAAAATTCATTGATTTAGGAAATTATTTTACATCGCCAGAAATCGAGGACTTTTTGCTTCCGCATTCATTGGTCAGCGGATTGCAGTCGGATGAAAGCAAAGATGGCGGTCAAGACAAATTCTATATAGAATATTGAACGATTTAAGTTCTGTGGACCTTCTTTATGGAGAAAAAAGCAAAAGAAAAACAACTTTGAACTGATCTCTTGGTATTTTTAAGGCAGAGCGACTTATAGCAATTTGCTGTCTGATGTAAGGCAAGGGACACTCTGTACTAAGCTTCAATGTCCACTCAAACTGGCTTTTTTTGTAATCGTCTAAGATGTCAGACATTTTGGAAATGGTAGCTTAAACCACTTGCATTAAATAATGGGAAGATCTAGGCAAATCGTACTTGAAAAGGGCTTTTTCTCCCAGTTGAAAACACAGTTCAACGAACGTACTAACACAGATCTCTCTGATCTGCTTCTTAATTTTCGCGCGAGAAAATTTTTATTCAAGGCTCTACTTTAGTATGAGGGGGTCTGGATTGAGTTTATTTCCCGTCAAACATTACTGAATTAGAAAAACAAATATGGCGACAGTTTCAAGGTTTCGCAGAGGGTTTTTCTTTTAACGCTTTCCCTTCTGGTGCGTCCTCAAGGATGGTCTCAGATCACAGACTCCACAGAGCAAAAATAGAAATTTTCAAGCTCTTTTGGAAGTATCTCATTGTCAAGAAATGTCTCTTTTTATGGACGATTTGCTAACTTCGAACTTCCCTTTATTTAATGCGAGTCGGAGCTAGTTGACTCCCTGGAGGGTTGCTCCTCAAATCGGCGATCCTTTGCCATGGATTACGCTATATTTGAAACAGACTAGAGGTAAAGGCTAGCCTCGAATATCGAACATTGCTGACTTTGCTGAAAGTAAGTAGACAAACAGCTTTTGAATTATTTTTGTTAGAAGTACAGCTTAATCTCTACTGAACATGTTTCGAGTCGGAGCTAAGGAATAATCTTACTCGCATTTGTGGTATTTTGGATTTTTGTGGAAATCCCATACATTTCGTTACACGATTTCGCCGCCATTAACTTCTTAATACGCACGCGCGTCCGGCATTTTGACCCAAATTTCTGGCAATGAATTCATATACCGACGGTTGGTGTCTCGATAAGCAATCTACAAATATGCCCGAAGTAATTGTGCGCTGGCTAAAGTTGGTTTCCGAATCTCGAACCTTCGTGAGTCATGTTATGTCGCAATGCCTTTTTTTAAAAATAGAAGCAACGTAATTTGTTAAGGGTGGATTGCGTTGCTTTAAGCATCCGCCTGAGTGCTCATATAATCTTTGTTGACTCAGCGCGAGTCAACTTCTTGGTCTCGCTCGTTGGTAGCATTCCTTCTTGTCTAGCTACTTTAAGACACCTGAAACGGTTTCTATAATTTTCTTACCCTATCGTGTCTGTTATGAAGTTGCATCTTTATGTAAGTTGCATTTTCTGAGTTCCACGGCCGCTTGAATGCCAAACGGGCAGAGGATATTCAAATTTCAAACTATGTGACATATCTCAACAAGGAAAGGCACTCATTTGGTTACTAACATCCATAAAAAAAGTGCATATACTACGTTTCCATTTGTTCTGCGATATGTTGATAGCGTAACACTGGTAGCAAGGGAACGAAAAACGGAAACGAATTGGTACTCCGACAGCAAAATGTTATCGCATTCACTTCATCATTTCTATTTCACTTTTTTCTATCTTATCGAGCCTATGCAAATTGTTTAGCTCTTTCAACTTGAGAGCGGTTTTGCAATCTACCTCCCCCGAAAAAAGGGGAAACAAAGATTCCATAAAATTTCGCGAGAACGCTCCAGTTTTGCCTCCAGTATTCCAGTTTTAATACCAGGGGCCTATATTTCAAGAGCAAAATTTAAAGATTACAGTTTTACGGACCCTTCGAGAAAAACGTGCCCCTGCTTGACCCGGTCCCCGCGCAATGAGCTGACTTCCGCGAAAACATGGGCACTGAAAATAAACGATTTATTCACTTAACGCAACGAAAAACTTGGACATTACATCTCATTCCCACCATCTCGACCCGAGCGCCGAGCTTACGTTTTTGCAATACGTCATAAACTCACACACAATCTCCACTCACTTGGACCCAGTGTTCACTCACTCAATACGCAACGCCTTACACAAACTGAAAAAGAAGTAACACAGAACATAAATTTTCAGTTCGAAACAGGCACTCACGGATCTCTTATGTTTGATTCACCTCTAATTTTTTCTGGCAACAACCAGTCACTGACATTATGACGCGAACACCTTGTGAATGAAGAAAAAAAAGGTGAGTTTACTTCATCAGAACTTGGAAATCACTTTACGAATCACTTGACCGAATTCAGTTCAAGCGTTGAAACACATCATCACGAGATTGATAAAGTGAAAGTAGATGTATGCAACGCGTTTAATCAGAATCTTAGTGCTATTTCAACGTGTGTGATGCGAGGGAAATTGATGTTATAAATTGTCTGCGGCGAACAAAGATAGATTTGATTGTTTCTCTGTCCGAAATCACTAATATCCTATGCGTATGTTCGAGAAAACGTTGACACAAGCACGCTCTTGGAAAGGATTGATATGTTTGATGTTTATTGTGAATGGTATGCGTGCCTTTAAGATTTAACTTTTTAAGAAAATCAAGCAATAATGGTAAAAGAATTCGGAAGCCACTTTCATTCCCTTAACGCACGAAGCATCCGGAAGGCGAACGAAAACAACTCAGTGTGTTTTGATCGAACGATACGTTTCTTCGTGGTTAAAGTAATTGATAATCGCAAGACTCAATTTCCAATCGACGAGAAGAGCGAGCACACTTTTTATATTTGCAAGTTCTTCGAGAGTGGCCACTTCTCAAAACCAAAATCTACGCCACAAAGTCGATGAAAATGAAATTTGCTAAAGATAATGAAATATATTTGGAGGAAACGTTTTTGTCACTTTCATTGTTATGATTGTTTCTTAAATATATCATTCGCTCCGACGAAGGGCTAACGCTCGAAACGTCAGCTTTTATAATCGTAACGGTGGCCAATTTACCATTTCAACTTTGTTGATATATTCAAATTATTCCCAAATATATCATTATCTTACGGAGTCTAAAGGTCATATAAGAGACACAGTAAGTTGCGTGACGAGCATGAACGACTTCATCTGGGAGACTGAGACCTCGCTTTTCTAAAGCAAGAGAATACATTTTCGCCTAGTTTGGGCAATATTAGAGGTATTGCGAATGGAACTCATTCTTGAGTTAATGCACCTATCAATGTCTTTCCCCAACGGGGGTAGCCCGGGCATACCCAGGGGCTATTGACATTTTTAAAAAAAAAAATTGTCAATGAGCCGCTCTGGAGGGCCTTATTAGAATAACAATAGGCCCCTCACAAGGAGGAAAGATACATGTTCAATTTATCAAAGGAATACCAGGACACTGAGAGGTATATTTCAAAGGAAATTATTACTGATTAATCATTATAAATAGAGTGTACATGTCTTAAATACCAAATCTTTAACAGTTCCACTTTTGTAATTAAGTCAAAGTATTTAAGTTTTTTCCTACCTTTTTTACTTCTGTTGACATAGTTGGCACGAAAGCTGCCATTTTGATTTATGCCAACTCGACACTCTCTTTCCCAGTCCTTCTCTGACGAAATGGTCAATAAACCCTACCCTGGGGTGAATCCTGTGTCAATAAAAGTTTACAGCCCCTCCCTCGGGCAAGGTTATTGTGTTAATAGCCCGTGTATGCCCGGGTTCCCCCCCGTTGGGGCAAGACATTGATAGGTGCATAATGAGGGCGATCTTGAGAACCAAGTTCTCATCATTTGATGGCAGAGCGAAAGATTCTGCAACTTACTGATGTGACATAGTCATTGAAACTTATTTTCTACTTAAAACATGTTCGTTCTTCTGTTTATTTTATTAACTGGAATTTTAGTGATTTTTCAGTATTTTAGTAATGTGTTAATTGTATTATTCCTATACCTACCCTTTCCGTGTTGTGTAGAGTAAACACCTGTTTCCCTCATGTAATTCCTGTTTAATCCCTATTTCGTTTTAAGTAATTTTTACCTTTTCCTGTATTTTACTATAAGTTTACGACCGTTGCTCGGTAAGTTCAGTTGATTTGTTACCTTCCTGAGAGTGTCTTTAAAGGGGATTCCGAACTATACTAGCTTTTGGTATGTTTCACTATTTTATGTTTGCTTGAGCCCTAGGCTTAGCATGTAGTTGTTTCCATTTGTATATTTGTAGTGATTTTCGGGTTAGAATTTGCTTAGTTTAGCCACATATTCCTCCTAGCTTGCTACTGTATTCTATTTATTTACTCTGACCTTTGTCGCACAGCATGTAGTTTCTCTGCTATAAAAACTGCAATTGTTTTCATATTAGCAGCTGTAATATTTTGTTTACCTGCTTCCGTATTCATTGTTGCAATGATTCGTGTGTTTTCAGTACCAAATTATCTGCTTGTAGATTTCACTTTCATGACCAGATAATGGGTTCATTAAACTAGTAATTTCATTCTCCCCTTTCACTGTTTTATACTGTATTAGCTCAAGTTGTAATGTGAAGCCTAGCTAGTAGTCTTTGTTGAATTCATGCCTCGTGTAGCAATCACTATTTTTGATAGTTTCTGTCACACAATTTCCTGTTTTCAAGTACTTTGTTTGTTTCCTATCTTTTACTGAATTATTTCCGTCTGTAGGTTATCCTTTAGTGTTAAGTACTTCTAAGTCATTTTAATCTTGCCACATCATTTAGCTCATTGGAGCTTTGTTTATATATCTTATTAACCAAGCGCGAGGGCCGTACTGGGAGAATATCGGCCCGATGTCTTGACAGTACGAACCGAGCGCAGCGAGGTCCGTACAAAAAAGACCGATGGCCGATATTCTTCCAGTACGGTCCCGAGCAAGCTTGGTTAATAAGAGATTTATTATACGACTGAAGTTCGAAGGGACACAAGTGCGGTATCATTCGTGACCATTCGGGACAATGCCCGGTCCAATACTGATAGAATATTGACCGGCAATAGAGCATTTTGATTGGTTGATTTCAGTTATTGGCCCTCTGACTGCCCGAGTCGTGTAATAATCTATTTATTGTTTAGTGTCACTCGTTCCCGTTTTTTTGTACCGTTGCATTTATTTGCTGTGCAATAAACTTGTAAATCTTCCCTTGGATCTTTTGTTCTTACCTCGACCGTTTTGGCCGTCTTACACTGATTCGTTTAAAGCAGAGTTGACACTGCAAAATTATTGTACACGTTTAAATGAAAAAAAAAACCTTGCGTTTTTCCTTGGAAAATTCTTTTGAAAAATGGAAGTTTTTTTTCATTTCCGTAGCCATCTTGCTATCAGCTGGGAATGGGTGTTACCCATTTCCGTAAATGGCATGTTATTTTTCCTTTCCCTTCTTCAACGTAAAGATACATTTATTTCGGGTTGAATGTTTATCATTTTGGTTCAGGAAAGCTTAAATGTTGTCCCGCGTGAGAACTACATTAATTTACGTCCACCCACCTGCTTATCTTCTCCGATTTTCCCATTCATCACTAAGGATGCTTCAACAACCATGTGTATTTCTTTTTTGGTAAAGGATGAAAACCGAAAAAGGGAAGACTTGAAGACTGTGCGTAACTCCGTCGCAGACGAAAACGAGAAAAATGTTCAAAAACAGGAAGAACTAAGGAAACGGAAAGGAACAAAATAACCGGAAGGAAAACAAACAAGATCTCTATTGCAACAGAAAGAGAACTTATTTACAGCTAAAGTCTCATCATAAAGACGATTCACTTTAATAATCGGCAGTTGAAAAGAGTTTAAAATGGGACAACGACTAACAAACTTTTTCACGCAAGGAAGACAGAGAAATGCACGGGAGCAAACCATTACAGAGCTGAGAGAAGAGCTGAGAGCACAGATTACTTATCGGCAGAATCAGGAGCAAACCATTACAGAGCTGAGAGGAGAGCTGAGAGCACAGATTACTTATCGGCAGAATCAGGAGCAAACCATTACAGAGCTGAGAGGAGAGCTAAGAGCGAAGGAACAACATTTAACTTATCTGCAGAGGCAGTTCAATACACGTGACTGGGTGATAAGTCGAAATGAAATTTACATGGAGGCAAACGAAGTGCTTGGGGAGGGAGCATGGGGGAGAGTTGTTCGAGGGAAATTTCGCCGTTGCGTTGTAGCAGTAAAAAAAATACACGAGCTTCTATCTCCTCAAGCCAAGGCTCTTTTTGAACAAGAAATCAGCATTGCATCAAGGTGCCGTCACCCTTGCTTGTTACAGTTTATCGGAGCCACCGATGATGACAGACCATTGTTAGTAATGGAATTAATGGATCGCAGTTTGAGGTCATTGTATGAGGAACGACATCTTACTGAAAGAGAAATTTCATTTATTTCTCTGGATGTAGCTCTTGCTCTGAACTACCTTCACCAATACAAACCCGATCCCATTATTCACCGAGACATCAGTAGTGCCAATGTACTGCTCTGGAAAGAACGCGACCAGTGGAGGGCTAAAGTGTCAGACTACGGCACTGCCAATTTTGTGCGCCTGAGCACAAATGATGGACCAGGAGCTTTAATTTACTGCGCCCCAGAGGTACGCGGAACAGTGGAGGACCGAGTTATCAGCTGTAAGGTTAGTTCAGTCAGTCTAATCATTAAATGTTTCAGGATTAAACGCCTTATTTTTCTCGCTTAATCCCAATTTTGTTTAAATAACTGTGGACAAAACTAACTAAAAGTAGATGTCAAGGCGTAAACTCTCAGTCAGTTGGGGAAACATACAAAGAGCTAGGAACTGACTAGATTCACTGTTCAATTCTATTTCTATCTAATCGATCAAAATGAAGCAATTATACAATTTCCTCTTGAGAAAAGTAATCTTAATCAGTCGATATACGTCAATATGCTTGGAATATTTCCTTGTCAAACAACTTGAAATCAATATACCCAGGAAAACTAGTGATGACAACGTCACACGATAAGAGTCCCATTTATCTTAAATCAGTCTAAGGTGTTGGGGACTATTCGCAAGGAGCTTTTTTGGACGCGTAATCGTAAAACACAACGCTCTGGTCCAGGTCAACTCGTGATTGTGTACAACTTTCAAATTACAGTCATTCGCACAATTTTGTGTGGTCTCGAATTGATCTACACCTGTGATAAAAACTGACCAAACAAAACCTAAATTAACCACACATTAGGGTTAAAGGAAATCGTCAACCTCATACTTATATATTCTGTTCGATAAACGGTAGGAAAAGTACAAAAAACTGTAACAAACGAACACATCAATCGCAGTCCCCAACACGAAACTACTTTTAAGACAAAAAACATGTGCTACCGAGCCGCGTGACCTAATCAATACCAGTTCGTTTGTTCATTCGGCTGATAGTGGGTCCCAACATCAGTTTCTGTCCGGCAAGGTTTTCACTCTAGCCCTTCCAGCTAGCCGCTAAACGAGTTAGTTATGCCAATGGATCTAAAGAACGGATCTGCTTGCCATGAAAACTTACAGGCCGGTATGAAGATGGGTCGTGGTAGTACAGGGTCTTAGCTCGTAAAGCTGATCAACGTAAGCCGGCATCTCGTTATTCTAGGTTGCAGTGCAGGTCTCATTTAAGTGTGATACTTAAAAAGAGAACTAGTCTACGTGTTTCGTGTCAAAGTGGAGTCCAAAATATGTTTTAATACTACCCATGTACTTTCCAAGTCTAGTCGGTCTAATTTCCTTTCTCTTTATTCTAGATTGATGTCTATAGTTTTGGAGTTCTTCTTTGTGAAATAAGTACTGGGCAATTACCAGACCCTGAAAGGCGTCAACAGCAAGTCGATCTGGTGAACAACTTTAACTATCAAGCTGTCATTCAAAGATGCCTGGAGCCAGATGCTGGAATGAGAGCAAATATGGAACAGATCATTGATGAACTGGAAACCTTTAGATTGTTGGAAAATTTTTGAATGCCTATTGACACAAGTCGTGACTAGCACTTTGAGATTTGAGTAGCGTTAGCTGTCAATTAGTTTACGAAATTTCTGTAATACTTGAAGCGGTCAGTGTAAAACGCAGACTACGGACTGCAGACCAGGGATAAAATGCAGACTGAGGGTAAAATGCAGACTGCGGACTGCAGACTTGATTCCTTTCCTTTATTCTAATGGCGTTAAACTTAACTTAACATAATCAACCACTACCCACAAATAGCATAGCTAGTCTCGGCGGGCAGTGTGTGACGCTAAAAGATCTTACATAAATTTCGGTTCAACCAAAGATTCACTAAATATACAAGAAACAGAAATTAAATATTAAATCATTAATTTAAAAGCAGAAATGACAGTATGAGATAAAAATACAGAAAAAGAAACACATGACAATAAATAGAAGAATACGTAAGTTGTACACTACTATTAACTGGATTTAATTTTTGACACTTTTGACACATCATTGATTATTCGTTCTACGTCAACATAACTATCTTGAACTTGAAGATTTTGAAATAATATTGTTGTTAGCTTTTTCTTGAATATATCTTTTACAAGATTCCTTAAGTTTCCTGGGAAATTAACGTCTCCTACCCCTAACCCTGCAGGAGACGGGACCTCCATTTATTCGTCCCTATCCGAGAAGATTAGAATATCTAACCATTTCTTGATGTTACAGAAAGGTAGAAAATTCTTCTCAATTATTTTAAGACCCTGAGTGTTGGTCCGGCTGGGACTCAAACCCTCGACCTCCCCCACAACAGTTCAGTGCTCTATCCATTGAGCTAACCGGGAGGCGGTTAAGACTCGTTTTTTTTTTATTATTAATATTTTACCCTCAGTCCATATTTTACCCCTGGTCTGCAGTCTGCATTTTACCCTCAGTCTGCATTTTATCCACGGTCTGCAGTCCGCAGTCTACGTTTTACACCGACCGATACTTGAACCTTCCATGCTTTTAAGAGGCTCAAGTTTGGCTCATTTTTATTGATGTTTACAAACTTTAACCTGAAAGTTTAGCAGACGTTTCATTTGTACTGATAAGTCTCGAACTGAAGCTACTTATGGCCCACGAACTTTGAGCAGGATGATACATAGCCAGAAATTCCATACAGCATGGCTGCCAAGCATGCGCAAGGTGCACACATATGAATTTAAATATGGCGGCCAAACATAGAGAGAGTGTGGAGAGAAATGCAAACGTTTCGAGTTTTTGTTAACGTTACCCTGAACACAGCTTTCCCCACCTTAATAATGCAAAAAGCAATGTATAAACAACAGTTTATTCGAACAAAATGCGAAGATAAAATTGTTCTAGCCGGTGCCTTTTACTATCTTTGTGGATTGACTCATAAGCGTACCATTCTCTCATACTGTAAGCCTATATAAATGGTGCTCACCTTCATACTTTCCTACGCTCTCGCAGCAAAGATCGTGGTACTGACACATTTCCCCAGCACCGCATTCGAAAGACAAGATGAAAAGTTCGCAAATAAAGGGATTTCCTTCCACATAAACAGCCGTCAAGGCAGTGCCATTTCAAGACGAAAAGTACCATTTTCTTTAAATGTCATCAGCGAAGTGAGAGGCATTACACTGAGGCAAGAATGCTCCTTGTTCTAGTTTGTTTTGGTTCTCTTCGACAGCCATTTTGCTCTTCTTCGTTTCCATGTTCCCTCTTACAATAGGAAAGCCGCTGAACATAAGAACTGGCAGAGTTTCGAAAAAAATGCGGGAAGATCGCAGGAAAATCAAATATTTATAAGTGCCATGACTGAAATACCACCGAATAAATCGTTTCAACCTTGGAACATCGGTATTGTAGATCCATCTTTGCAATATGCAAGGAACATAGCAACAAGAAAGGTAGCCTTAACAATTTCTTTGGCATATTCAACCATTAAAGAGAGGTATTATCTTGTGAGAGAGCAAGAAAAGCTTCAAGCAGCGGGTCAGGATGCTAATTCCTCTTTTCAAGAAGGTGAGTTAGTTTTTCCTGATATTTACAACCTTTTAAACTTTCTTGTATCTTATCTTAACCTTCTCTGGTGATTCCATACACTTCATTATAAAGAGGATTTTTTTGTGGATCACTCAGGGAAAATTTTTTTTTTATTTATTCAGTAAATATGCTTATTTGCACTGCATAAGGTCTGGAGTTCTCTCATATACTGTCGATTTATTTCTTGATTTATTTATTGATTGACTGACTGATCGATTGGTCGACTGATTTATGCATGCATGCATGTATGTGTGCATGTTAGTTTTATTTTTTTATTTTTTTTTATTTTTTTTAGAAACTACAAGCAGCTCTGAGAATATCAAGTTCCTCTGGAACTGTAGAGGCCTCCAGGGAATTTTATATACCAAGAGCAATGAGAAGGCCAAGTTTTACTATGTCAATGACAGAAGAAAGTTGATGTTTCCCGATTTAATTGATATATGTGCACCAGGTCATGCATTTGTAATCAAAGATGACATGCGTACACGCCAACACATCCATGAGCAGTTTGCAAAAAGAGCAGCAAATGTTCTATCGCTGTATCGCACAAATAAAGGTAAGAGAAACTGGGAGCAATTGAATGAGAAAACACTGAAATTTCATCTACATGAAGACCAATTAGCTTCTTATCAAGAGGTTGAAGATGAGGTAGCTTCCCTACCAAATAATTTACAAGAATGGAAGGCAGCACATGCAAACCTGGAGGCAGAAAAAAAAATTATTTTTGATGAAATGAGGAGCACTATCTACAGTAAATAACACTTTCCCCCGTAATCTTCGCTGAATTTTGTCAACTTGCTATATCTCCAATTGTAACGAATCTCCTCTGAAGGCAAAACGACTTCCACCACGCTGAATAGTGTTTGTCGAAATACTTCAAGCCTTGGACTTTGGAGCAACTTATAAGCCAATTTCTATTTTCTTCAAGAGCAACTTTGACGCAATTTTCATGATAATCAAGTATTTTTTGGAAAATAATTCGGAGTATCTTGAGGACGGCCTCAATGATTACATTCCTTCTTTAGGACAGCCTCAAAGAGGACGTTCCTTAGTAGTATGATGCGCCTTACTAGCACCTCCCGCGCGGCCTGGGTCCGAGTCACACAGCCGAGAGGGTTCATTAATATTCATACCACGTAGGTGCACGGGGGTTAGGGTTAGGGTTTTAGGGTTAGGGTTTAAAAAACTAGTATTCATAATGCGTAGGTTCATGTGTGGGGGTTTTGCATCTCATTTAAAGAAAATAACGGTTTTCTCAAACAAAGGGAACAAAAGAATCCAGATTGGCGGAGGGATTAACTCCAACACACTGTTTTTTTTTTACATATTACAATATTTATTGTCACACAACACGGTATTTGATTTGTAAATACGTGACATATGCCAAAAAGGCAGTCATCATATCTCTGTACAACTGATGGAAAGTAGATTGTTCTCCCACTTGTGCATCGTAGGTTTCAATCTCGTCAATGTATTTAGTCACTTGTCTGCGTATATCACAAAGATCTTGCGTGGTGGCTTTTTCTTTGATGATGGCTATTAGCGAGCTTAAGATCCGACGACGGCAAACATCTGGGATGGTAAGCGGAAGTGAAGTTACCGCCAGAATTACTTCCGTTTGCCGTCGTTGTGAGGTTTCCTGCCGTAGCGGCCTTGTCTGTGACGTGAAGAAAGCCATTTTGCCGTCGCGGATAAAACGTGAGTAAACCTTAGCGAAATAACGCCCTTTTAAGTTACTTTGGGCGAAAACTGTTGGCAATTTTAACAGTTTATTGTTATGAGAGGATGTCTGTGAAATGGCTGAGCAAAAATAAACGATTTGTTCATGGAAATTTTAAATAATTCGTTTGCCTTTCTCATAAATAGTTCGTCACTAAAACTAGCTCGATGTCAAAAAGCAACCCAGTAAGTTTTACAATTTCACCATTTCTCTTTATTTCGATGGAAAATTCGTACTTTATAAGATCAATTGTTCCGACTGCCAAGCCTCCTACATCGGTGAGACTGGCAGAAACCTCACAACAAGACTGACTGAACACAGACGGGCGACGAGGAAAGGTGATGTCAGCAATCACATTGCTGAACACCATCGACTTACCAACCACAACATTGACTGGGACTCTGCGCAATGCCTAACCTACAGCACTGACTATTTTCAACGACTGACTCTGGAAAGCTGGTTTACTAACTTAGAACAGACTCCCCTAAACAGATGTCAACAACTACCCGCTCCATACAAACGACTCATTCACGACATAAACATCACAAACGACCGAAAAAGAACGACCTAACTTTACCGACAGATCGAAACAGACCAATCACGACCGACTTACGTCACTTGAGTCTTACAGCCAATAACATCACGGCAAAACCAACCGATCATTTCACACGAACTGGAATAAGAACATTCTACTGACAACAATCATTCACTTGACTCTGATGATGACTTCCGCACAGGTTGTCGAAACGTCAGTCACTACCACCGACAACAGTCCTTCTCAGGACTACACTCACCCGGACGATCAGACTACACCTTCACATGTTACCCCCGGGTTCAAACCATTTACTGCAGTTTAAGTATAGTGGAAGATCAGAGAAGGTGGCAGAGGCCTGTAAAGATTTGGAGAGAATGGTGTTACATGTAACAGAAACCACGAGGAGTTAAAGGAGGAGGTAGAAGAGAAAAGGAAGAGATACGCTGGTGCACGGGGGGTTAGAATACAAGTGAGTGCAAGAATACTAGTAGGGGAGTCATACACTCAAACTACCTTAGAGATCCGCGACTGTACCGTTGAACTTGTTTGTACAAAATGAAATGATTTTGTAGTGTTAAGTTCTTTTTATAAACAAATGTGTTTTCCAAGGTAAATGTCTGTTTAGTATTGATTGACGTACTGTCAGAAACAACCGTATATAAATCTATCGTGCGTCATAAAAGGGAAAGGAAGTGTATAAGCCAAAACGGGAGCACATAGCGCAAATCGAAAGATGCCCAAACAGGTCACTTGGGGTAAAATGATGGTGTATAAACCATCCCAAATATGGTTCCAATGTACATCGTGTTGGTATTACACTCTCTATTATCCAAGTCGAGGCGTGAAATGTCAATTCCCTTTACGACGTCTCGTGA